ACAATTAGTCTTTTTTGTGGAATAACTGTAATAATTAGTGAATGGTCCACTGAGGATTTTTTTTTTGAATGTAACTAATTCTGATAAAGTTGTTTAATGCTTCAAATCTAACCTTTAAGCACAAATTCCATAAAGAACAAACAAGTATTTATGTTTAATTTTTTTAGTTTAAATCACCGGGCACATAAAGAATTCAAATATTTTCTTACAAATAATTTTCTATAGTTAACAAGTTCAGGATTTGTGCTGCTCCTGTTGTAGGCACACACAACTGGTGTTCATGGTTATTCCACATCTAGTCTCGAGCAGTTCGTCTGAGTTATTATTTTAAATTTAGCTAGCTGCTAAAGGCTTGCTGAAACGACAGGTTTAGAATTTACATTGGCCTTATGTGGTTATAGATGACATCATATTGCTTCTTTGAGATGACGTCGCTCCTCTGTGCATTTGTTGGCTGCTAAAAGCAAGACATTTAAGCATTCAAGAGCAGCAGGTGAAATCATAAGGACAAGCAAGTTGGTCATTATTTTCCTAATAGTATTTTCTAGCTGAACATCCATTCATGAATGTCCCCTTAATCTCGAGTGTCGTCGAGTGCCTACTTTGCCGGGTATGGTGCCAAGTTTGTAATAAGAAATACTACAATAGAGTACAACGACGCACGCAACAAAGCTGTAAGTATATGTCCCAGTGCTCACCATAGAGCTATATTCTACAGATCAATCATATACAAAAGTTGGCACGATAGATCATCTCCACAAAATTTAGGAGAAAGAAACAAGCCAGCAAGTTTGTGCTACATATCGTGGGCCATATTTCTAGTTAATTATACTAGTACAAGAAGACGTACAACGTCAAAATTTAATCCATATGGTCCGAGCTGCCAGTTGCCTAGAATCAGAATATATGTTTTCCTACCTTGTGCTTCTCTTGTCTCCATGTTGCTTGCCTTCCCGTGCCTTGGGTGTCTCAGCTTTCTTCTAGATGTGTGCACCTACTAATAGAAAGATCTTGGCCACAAATACTCCACTTTTCATGATAGACATATATTCACCAATGATTGGTTGGGCTAAATACTACATTTATTTGCTCAGAAGAGGAAAGTTGGCTGTGCTCGTATGTAGTTTTTCCTAGGACCATTCCAACAAGATGCTCAGAGGTGGGTGGAGAAAAAGCTCAAAAGCCATACTTCATGTGCTTTCAGAGGATGTAAATCAGTCTTCATCCTTTCGCTTTTCAAAGCCCTTGAAATAAATACTTAATTTTGTTTATCAGAAATTCACAGATTCTCGATCTCCTTGAAAGAAAATGAGTTCCATCAGAGGGGTGGGGGTAATTTTGCCGAGAACAATGTCCCTAGATTTGGCGGTAAATGGCAGGTGTGTGAGTTCCTTGTGTCATAAAAAGCTATGTACCCGCCACTATATCTGTTAGAGGATATAACGTTAATATATTTCCACAACACATTAGAAGTCAGATCTACCTATAACAAGAAGCACCATCATTTCTTGAGTTGAATTATGTACTTCCTCCATTTCTATTACCAGGTATCTTTTATGTGCATGGTGACCAAGACATTGTTGTGAGGATTATTTCACCTGGTTATAATGTTGATTAGAACAGCAATTACCAGTAGCTAATTAATGATTCTTCAAGTTTAGATTAGGGATATGAAGTCATACTCTTTCGACAACAAATTGAAATTCTGATCTACCTATAACCTAACAACTGTCATTGCTAGAGTTGAATTCATATACCCCCTCTGTTTCTTTTATCAAGACTCTTATTTTGTGCATGGTTACCAATACATTTATTTGAGGATTATTTCCCCTGCTTACATGTTGCTTGCACTACTAACTAACGATAGCTATTTAGAGTGAGGCATTTTGAAGCCTGGACACCATGAAGTTTTTTTTTAAATCTCAAAATGTATACTTTAAATCTTTAAAATATCCAGTAATATTTTCTACATGTTTATATGGATATTTATATGAAGGGTATAAAGAATTACAATGAAGTACATTAACATGTGAGCTACATAAAAAATTAAAAAATTGTGCATTTTTATAGTGAATACTAGTCTGTGTATTGTTCCCTATTTTTGAAATCACATATTTTTCTTTGTGTGTAGATCTCACCTTAATGCATCATCATCAAACTTTACACATGTAGTATACATCCTTATGAAGGTGCACTATTGTTTTCAGAATTCTTTGAAACTTTAAAATGTTTTTTTTAAACTGAGATCCATGGAGCTTGAGCTCTATTTTGGACTTGCATAGCTAATTGACGAGTCTTACAGTTTCTGGGGAATAGATTAGAATCCACAAGAGGAAGAAGGAAAGATACCTAAAAATTCAAAAATTATCTCAGAAACAATACATTTAATAAAAAGGACTGGATGCATCATGTATGGATGGCCACTTATATTCCAAAAACACTAAAAATTGAGCAAAGGTGAAAATGAAGTAAAATAGAAACTGGGAAGGAATAATGAAAATAGGTGGAAATTATCTGGTGCGCTCAGTACGTCAACCTCCACTGGGCTCCCACGAGGACGACTATTACCTACTGGCTCAAATGAAAAATTTCCGTGTACTCTGGCCCTGTTCATATTTAGGTCAAAATAGTAATAAGCTCGCTCCGAAATACATCACATACTTTTTTGAAGGATCAGTCTTTGAACAAAAAATATTCTACTTTAGGCAAAAATTAATGTCCCATCAAGTAATAGTAAGAAGCTAGCTACGAAGTATTTTATGTCAGTGAGTAATAATATGGTTAATTAATTTCCCATCAAGACTTGACATCTACGTATGTATCAACGAATATTGTGTTTAAATAACACAAGCAGGAATGGATCTTCTTTTTGTAAACTATTCTCTCCGTTCAATAATATAACATGTTCTAAGTTTTTTCTGAATCGGGTGTATATAGAGACGTTCTAGTGTGTTTGCCACTCATTTAAGTCTGTATGTTGTCTATATTGAAATATCCAAAACATCTTATATATGTGAATGGATGGGCTACACAACAATAATATATACTGATATGTATCTGAAATTTAAATGCACTCAGTGATATGTTTTTTACCAGCAATTGCTTCTGGGGACATGGCTGGTTTGTAAAAATAAAACACTATTGTGGATTACAAGGACGCACACAAAACTGTAGCTATTTTTTTCCACCGGTCGCTATTGAACTAAATTATACAGCTCATCATACACAAGTTGACAAGTTGGCACGATCGATCATCTCCGCAGAATCAAACAAGCAAGCACGTAATAAATTTTGTAGGCTATATTCTATTGAAATTTTGTAGTATATGCATACGGTCGGGGTCAAAATTTATTCCATGTGGCCTGAGCTACCTGCTCGCTGCATGTTCATAGGAAGTGAGGAATTATGCAAGAGACTCTTTGACGACATGCCGTCAATACCTATCAGGTCATGTATATTTGTCTTTCTTGACAGCCTTCGCTGCATCATTTGTTAGAGAGACTCTCTGTAAGAGTCCGTATGCATGCATGTCTTGAAGTCCCAACTACTAAGTCACGATAAACTAGTCCAGAGAAATGGAGATAGGAAATCTAACGAATCACTAACTGCCAAATGAATGAATATACAACGTGTGCATGTCCTACTCATAGTCGCTGTGGTTAACTTACGGGTGCTTCTAGTTCTACCTGTTGTTGGTTCATGCCCCACGGCCTACAGTCTCATAATTTTTGCTTACTCCACATGAGCGTGCACTTTTGTTATATTATATAGATCCTGGACAATTTTTTGTCTACTTTACGGCTTGTCTGTGTGGATACCTGTGAGCATTAATGCATGGGTGTATTGCTATCTTATATCCCTATTTAGATTGGCTTTTAAACATTAATTTGTATAGTTGTATCTTTAACCGGACATGATTCCATGCTTATCTTATTTTTTCTTTTGACACACGGTTAAACTTAATAGGAATCCTGCTATTTTTGCATTTGTAGCTTATTTTCGAGCTTGACAAGAAAATATTTGTAAGCATTAACATATGCTTGCATTGATTTTTTTATATGCCTATTTGGATTACTGAATTTGTAAATAAGCATATTCCAATATTTGTATCTTAATTGGACACGACTCCATGGTTAAAATGAATTGGAATCCTACCATCTGTCTCTAGAAGCAATCGTGTATGTGAATGTTATTCTTGCACCATATATATTGACGGTGCAAATATGATACTCCCTCTGTAAAGAAATATTAAGAGAGCTTAGATCACTATTTAGTGATCTAAACACACTTATATTTCTTTACAGAGAGAGTACGTGCAAGCGAAAGAAGAGAGCCAGAAGAGCACCATGTACAATACTGAAAGTGAAGTGTCGAAAAAGAATATGAAGGAATTTGAAACATTGAAGGAATACAAGATGTCATATGACAATGTGTTCTACCAGTATATGTGTGTCCTTCTTTGTTTCCACGACATTAAAAATGTGGAAATGTAATTCTGTATTCATATTATACATATTAATGATACAAAACTATTTATCTTTCCTCCATACGTATTTCTTCACCAGTCTTCATCTTATTTTCTCGTAGATAATTGTATTTAGATACTAAGAGGTGAATAATTATAGGTTATTCCGCTGGTTGTCACATTGTAATAAACATTAGCTTTGTACATTTATGATGCGAAGGTGGTAGGCAACATATAATTTTATAATTCCATGAACTGTTTGCAGAGTATCATAATGCTAAGTACATACAATAGATTTAGTTCGACAATACAATAAAATAACAAATTTTGCTGCTTCTGCCCACACAAACAGTGCACACAGCCCAACAACACACATTACATTAGCATTGTCATTGCTTTATTTCTACAGACACACGTTGTTCCCTTTTGTTTTTTGAAGAACCGAGGAAGGCACTACCACTGAGGACATGGGATCTACAAAATTCTTATTAGGATATATATTCCTGATAATTGGTTAAAACATGCATTAACTCTATTAAATTTTCTCATAGAGATGTGCGGCCAGCCGTGGTTTAGCTTGCAGAATCAGGGGTTCAGCTAAGGCAAGGGCGCCGGTATTGCTTTCTTGGAGACTGATTCTGTCAACTCCAAGGGGCTTCGTCCAGGTGAATCCCTGCAACATCCTCGCAAACAACATCACTGTGACTGAGGTACCAAGTGAAATTCCGGGACAACCCCTCCTCCCACTACTAAATGAAATAAAACGCAGTCCTGGTTCACTGAGGAGCACATTTGCGGTATTCAAATGCCTCTCGGGCTGAAAATCAAGTGGTTCGTTCCAGATCTTGGGGTTCCGACCAAGTCCCATCCGGCTTAAAATGACATGGCTATCCTTAGGGATGGTGTAGCCAGCGATAGTGGTGTCTACCATGGCGACATGGGGTGGGTTAAAAGCATGGTATGGGTGTATGCGGAAAGCCTCTCGGATGCATGACTTGAGATAGTTTAGTCGTGGAATGTCAGACTCCTGGACTAGTTTATCTTTACCGACAACGGCGTTGATTTCATCAGTTGCTTTTTTCTGTTAGCATAATCTTGATGGTTAGGAGTCAAAGTATTAGTTGTGGCTACATGTAATCAAGGTGGCCGGTGATTAGAGTAAGTGTCTTGGTTCGAGTAAACCTGTGATTGGTAGTGTCCAGCTTAGACAGTACGTACTAGCTTAAGTCAGAGTATCGAGTCCTAGTCCTAGTAGTACTAGGACGTCAAGTCCGTGTTAGAGTTAGGTTGGCACGTGAGGTTTGGGTCGGCTGGTCCTGGTCCTGCGTATATATATACGTAGCAGGTTCAGTAGTTTGTAACCGTGGAAAATATTGAGAGGAATAAAGAAAATACGGGTACGACACGTGCCCTTGGCCAAAGTTTGTGAGCGTGCGTGTTCATTGTGAGTTGATGTGATCGATCCTGTGGGCAAAGTCCTAACAATTGGTATCAGAGCAAGGTCGATTTGAAGCCGCGCTTGCCCCGGGGTGGCGACCCGACTAGCGCCTCGGGGCGGGCAATGTTGTCGCTTGGTGCTGCAGCGACGAGGAGGATTCAGGCGATCGTCGTTCGACGGAGCGACAAGGAGGATTCAGGCGATCGTCGTTCGACGGAGCGACAAGGAGGAAGACGGCAGGGTGTCGTCGGCAAGGTGGTGGAAGATGATCGTTGACGGGAGCAGTGGTGCCGAGGTGCGGTGCCCGAAAGTCGTCAAGATCGCCGTCCGTGGGAGTTTGATGAGTCAAGGAGTCGTGCGAGTCAGCACGTCTTGGTCGTCGTCATGTCGGTCGGTGAGTCGTCATCATGTCCAAGTGCTCGTCTCTGTGATGATCTGTTGAAGATGAAGCGAGTCACGTTCGAAGGGCTGTCCGGTGTGGTGTAGCACCGAGGGCGAAGACGTGAACCGAAGATCAAGCTCAAGCGTATAGTGGGACGAGGACTAGTGAAGGGGAGCCTCTTCAATGAGGACCTGTCTCTACATGGGACGGTGTGTGATCCGTTGGCATGTATTGCGTTAGGGGTGACCGATGGTGTTGCCTGGCAGCGTGACTGGGAGTCTGGATCATACGTTGAGGAGGATCGTCAAGTCGCGGATCTACAACAAGTCAATATCGGGAGAAGCACGAGGAAGGTGACAAGTCAAGATTAGGGGGAGATTGTTAGCATAATCTTGATGGTTAGGAGTCAAAGTATTAGTTGTGGCTACATGTAATCAAGGTGGCCGGTGATTAGAGTAAGTGTCTTGGTTCGAGTAAACCTGTGATTGGTAGTGTCCAGCTTAGACAGTACGTACTAGCTTAAGTCAGAGTATCGAGTCCTAGTCCTAGTAGTACTAGGACGTCAAGTCCGTGTTAGAGTTAGGTTGGCACGTGAGGTTTGGGTCGGCTGGTCCTGGTCCTGCGTATATATATACGTAGCAGGTTCAGTAGTTTGTAACCGTGGAAAATATTGAGAGGAATAAAGAAAATACGGGTACGACACGTGCCCTTGGCCAAAGTTTGTGAGCGTGCGTGTTCATTGTGAGTTGATGTGATCGATCCTGTGGGCAAAGTCCTAACATTTTCATCACCTCTGGCTTGTTCACCATCTCAGCGAGCGCCCACTCGACAACATTTGATGGGTTGTCGATTGTTGCATACATCATTTCCTACATCGATATAGGAAAAAAAAAGGTCAGTTTTCTATCAAAAGAAAAATGGGGGATCAAATTCTTCTTGCACTTCACGAATGCATGCATGGTTGTTTGTTGGATTACTGAATATTGATAGAGGTTGAAATGCGTACTAACCACTATCTGTGCCCGGATATCATCCACGGACAACAATGGTTGGCCATCTGCATCATCTAGATAAACCAGGACGTCCAGAAAGTCTCTGGCCTCTTTGCTTTCACCACCATTCCGAAGATTCGACCTTTCGATGATCCTCTTCTCCATGATGGGGTCATGAAACCGGTTGAGTATTCCCATGACATCATTGGAAACCTTCTCATGGCCCTCCAAATCAAGCCCTACGAGAGCTGGGAAGTAGTCGGACACGCAGAAGTTGCAGAGATAGTTGAGGAGCGTGAAGAGAGCGGCGACATGTGCCATCTCATCATGTCCGGGTCCGCTAGCTGACGAACCCGGCAGCTCGCTGCCAAAGTATCTCTTACCCAACACGAGCCTTCTTATCATGTTACCACAGAAATGTTGGGCAACATGTCGCACGTCGACTAGGCTGTTTGGACATGACATGCAGGTGTTGTTGATGTACGTCACGAGGTGGTCACACTCCTCCTGCTGGAGATGATGGAGTTTCTGCTCCATGGACGCGGTGAGGATCTCCGAGGTGAGGACGCGCCTCATCTTCTTCCACTGCACTCCATGTGGTGTCACGATGGTGCCCTTGAACCCGAAGCTGAACGAACCCGATGCAAAGGTTGCCGGACGGGAGGCCAGCACCTCATCCTTCTTCCGCAGCACCTCGCATGCTATCTCCGGGCATGTCACGGCCACGACATGAATGGCTCCGAGACGGAGGCAAATGATGTCTGTGTCCATCTCCTGGAGCAGGCGATGGATCCACTGGAATACGGCCGGCTTGTTCCACATCATCTGGTGAATGTTGCCGATGAAGGGCAGCGTGGGAGGCCCGGGTGGGAGCTGGTGTTGCTCACTTTTGACGGACAGTAAAACTTTTCTATTTTTCAGTGCAAAAAACACAAGTACGGTGGCCATGGTAATGACCAGCGTAGCAAAAGTCGTAAGACTTGAGAATCCGTACATTGTTTGCGAACTCATTCTGCATGAGCTAGCTGTACGGATGCTATGAAGTAGGATATATAGATGGAAAGTTGTGCAATAGGATGTACTGAATAGATGTGCTGAGATTTGTGTTGGGAGACACTCTTGCTCTTGGTGCATCTAGCTCGTTTCAGAGGGTATTAATAGGACGATGTGCTAGCTAGGCTCCAACTGGCCCACGTACTAAAGAAAAATAAACAGATGTCTAAACATCGTAAGGAGCTAGCTCCTCTCCATATCTATACATATGTTATATGAATATTTATTTATTTATTGATTGATTGGAGACTCTTTTAGTACACCAGATTAAGGGCCAGTTCTTTTGGGCAATTCTCTCAGAATTGACCCCCTCCCCAGCTTCTCCCAGAATTGCCACTCCATCTTTTTTTACAATTCCTAGCTAATTAGACCTTAACTAGCTAGGAATTGTAAAAAAGGATGGAGTAGCAATTCTGGGAGAAGCTGGGGAGGGGGTCAATTCTGGGAGAATTGCCCAAAAGAACTGGCCCTAACTCACATCATTCAACTTGTCGCCACAGTTGGATGTAAGCTAAATGGCTAAAATAAAATAAGGATGTGACTTAACTATTAAATTACCAAAACTAGAGACAAACATGCCACCATCTACATCTCATGGTCTGTACAGGCTAAACTATCTTCTGAATTATCTCTCCTTAATAATAAAGCACGGATTCAGTCTTCGAAATCACCGTAGTGATGTTTTTACACAAAGGTCCATGTATTTTCTGACAATTGAACCCGTAGTCCTAATGATCCTGAACCGATACGACCGATAGAAAAGAAAAAAAAAGAACCCACCCGTGCGCCCTACCCACAACCCTACCTCGCCATCTTCAACCTCCAGCGCACCGCCACTCCTACTACTCGACCGCGCGCCGCCGGTCCCCGCCCCGCCGCCGCGCACTGCCTACCCCGGCGGTGCTCATACCCCTACCCGTCCGTCCACACCTTCAGTTGCCCTTTTTTTTACTTGAAAAAAGAGACCCGGAGCATAGCAGAGATGGGGATCCACCGACAGATTAGCTTCGATTCAAAGATGCTGCCGCACAAGGAGGAGCAACCCGTGGCCGTTCCTTTTTCCACCACTGAGTTCTTACCATGGCACTATCACGGGCATACGCACGCAGCAACACATGCTGCTTCTCCCAGCCCCTGATCTGCTCCTCTCCGCCACCTGTGACCGCGGTCAACAATCCACGACGGCCACTCCCTGTCCCGTGCATCTCCTAACCCTAGGCGCACCCTCCCCGGAAACAGCCCTGACCTCGCCTGCATCATCTCCAGAGAGGCCAGCTCCATGCTTGGCGTCATGTGCTGCAGGTTCCGCCGCCCGCCCTCGACCGTTCACGACGCCGCTGGGACCGAGCGCCCGCCCGCGACCGTTGATGACGCCGCTGGGGCCGAGCACCCGCACACATCGTCGCCCCTCAAGGCCCTTCGCCGCCTCGGCTTCTCCCCCACCGCCCCTCGCCTTTGGTCCCGTTGCCACGCTTCGACCCCACCTCGACGCCATTGAGGCTACTGATGAGGAGGCCGTCTTGATGTACCTGGGGCCTTGAGATCCTTGCCGCCCCAACGATGGAACACCAGCACATCTGCTCCACGCATCCACCATGGTCACACGTTCTTCCGTGCAATACTGCTTTCAATGTCTTGCGACGGTGATGTCCATCGCAAACGACGACAGCAGCTGCTTCACTAGTAGAAAGGTTCAGGCCGGGTCAGCCATTAGTCCCGATTCAGTCCAGAACCGGGACCAATGAAGGCATTGGTCCCAGTTCGTGAGCCCAGGGGGCCGGCCGGGCCATGTGGGCCATTGGTCCCGGTTCATCTGGACCTTTTGGTCCCGGTTGGTGGGATGAACCGGGACCAATGGGCCTCGCTCCTGGCCCACCATCACCTGTAGTCCCGGTTCATGCCACCAACCGGGACCAATGAAGTGACTATATATACCCCCTCGCGTGAGAGCAGAGCACACTGCTCTGTTTTTTTCTGGCCGAGGGGGAGAGGGCTTGGTGGTGCTCTAGCTCACCTCCTATGCACACAAGGTGTTCGATGGAATGCTCGAGCCACACTACTTAAGCTTTCTCCTCTCCAAGCTTGACCTCCAAACTCCATTTTCCACAATATTTGTCTACGTTTAGCGGTCTGTCACGCCCCGTCCCCGTCTTCACCGCCGTCGATCACCCGCGCCGAGCTCATCGCCGGCACCACCGTGGTGAGCCTCTTGTTCTTATCTTCTATTTGAAAGGAAAAATATTCTTACTTGTATATTTACATAGATATTTGTATTATTTTCTTACTTTTATTATTGCATCTTATATAGTGCGATGGTTTTCATATCCGCTCCCGTCGGCCCTCGTCCTGTCTATGATTCGGATGTGGTATATATATTATCTTTATAACTATTGGTTCATTTATTGTTTATGAAAATTATGCCGACCAACGTGACATAGATTTTATTTATGTAGGATGTATGTGAATTGGAAATGCCAACCGACCCTATTGTCGAGAGGTTAAATTTGGTTGAAGAAGAAAACAATTTGTTGAAGGAAGAAATAAAAAAAATTGAGGAGGAGAAGATGATATTGGAGTTGCATGTTGCGGATGTCCTCGATGATCACAAGACCAAGATGGATGCAATGCGCTTGAAGATTAGAAAGATTAGAAAATATGCCATTCATACCGAGGCTTGGTATCATTATGCCGTTGGATTAATTGTTATCCTGGTTGCGATTATGATTGTATTTGTTTTCGCATTGAAATGTTTTACATAGTTTCAATGTATGGTTTAATTAATTAGATGCTCTGGAGAGATATATGTTGTTAGATGAGAACTATGTATGCACTTTGGTTTTAATGTGATGATGAACTTCTATTAATTTGGACACTTAATTATATATAATGCACGCAGATGAACCGACAATGGATGTACGGTTACATAGTGGACATATGGGAACTTGACTACGGACCTGATTTTAAGGTCCCTTTGTTTAAGTGCAAATGGGTCAATCTGTTAGGCGGTGGGGTACAGGTAGACCCACAGTACGGAATGACAACAGTGGATCTGAAAAATCTTGGGTACACTGACGAACCGTTCATCCTAGACAATGATGTGGCACAGGTTATCTATGTGAAGGACATGTCTACCAAACCGAGAAAAAGAAAAGATAAGGAAGCGAATACATCATACGATGAGCCAAATCGCCACATAGTTCTTTCAAGAAAAAAGAGACATCCTAGGAGTGGACGGCAAGACAGACATGTCTGAAGATTATGAAAAGTTTCATGAAATTCCTCCCTTCAATGTCAAGGCTGACCCAAGCATCCTGATAAACAATGAAGATTATCCATGGTTACGGCGCAATAAGCAAATGACACAAGCGAAGAAAAAGTGAAGACTTTTTCCCGCAACTTTGTAACACACGAACATGCTACCATTGTCCGTTTTGTACATGCACATGCTATGTGGGTGAAATTATGATACCATCCCAACTTTTAACTTTTTCAGAGTTCATTTGAAATGCTTTCATGTCTTATGGTTCGGCCCTCGTAATACCATGACCATTAGTCCCTGGCCCATGCCAACTTTCAACTTTCAACTTTCTAAAACTAATGGCACTAACAGAAAGTTTATAATTTTGCTCCTCACCCCTGGCCCATGACCATTAGTCCCGATTTGTGCCACAAACTGGGACTAAAGGGTTGGTCCTCGTTGCGGGCCGAGTTTAGTCCTACCTCGCCAACCGAAGGGGGCTCACACCGGTTTATAAGCCCTTCCCTCTCTGCCTTGTTGAGCTCCTCTCAAAGTGAAAATAGATGTCCTAATAGAGAAAAGTTTAACCTAAATTCATAGTGAATTTCTCTGAAATTCATAGAAATTTACTAGGAATTTAGGTTGAATTTTCTCTATAAGCGCATCTATTCTCATTTTTTTATTAAGTTAATCACAAACTTGTGATTCAAACAATTTTCAAAGAATTCAAAATTTAACTATTCAAATTTGAAAACTAATGGCACTACAGAAAGTTTATAATTTTGCTGACCTAAAAGCAAAAAGAATTAAAAAATAAAGCAAAAAACAAAACAAAATAAATAATACAGAAAACAAAACAAAAAAACTGGAAAAAAATAAAAATAGCAACAATAAGTATTTTGTTGTAAGTAGAAACAAAATAAAATAAATAAAGCAACAAAGAAAACAAAAAAACTAAAAAAGTGTTTTCAAATTTGAAAACTAATGGCACTAACAGAAATTTTATAATTTTTCTAAAACTAAAAGCAAAAAGAATTAAAAAATAAAGCAAAAAACAAAAGAAAATAAATAATGCAGAAAACAAAACAAAAAACTGGAAAAAATAGGGCTCACCCCTATAATATTTGTTATGACTAACTAAAATTACCAAATTGAGTATAATGATAAAACACAGTAATATTAAATAGCAGGAAAAAGATTGACTCAAAATCAATTTTTATAGTAAAGTTATTCATAAACTAGTGATTCACACAAATTTTAAAAAAATCAAATTTAAACTATTCAAATTTTAAAACTAATGGCACTAACAAAAAGTTTATAATTTTTGTGACCTAAAATAAAAAATAAATCACTACAAAACTATAAGTATTTAGTTCTAAGTAGAAACAAAAAAACAAAAAAACAAAAAAAGTGCCACCTACTGGGCCCCCACGGCCTGAATACGACTAGAAACCCTACCATGGGCCAGGATTCAGGCCCGCGGGAGGCCCAGTAGGCCCACAGGCACAGATTGCAGTGTTAGGTCCGAAAGCCTGCTTTAGAAAGGAGCTCGAGAGGGAAGGCGCACCGCACCTTATAAACAGGTGCGCCTCCCTCTCAACTAGCGAGGTGGGACTAAATATTTGGGTTCGGGGCAGCACAGGCCTTTGGTCCCGGTTGGTGGCACCAACCGGGACTAAAGGGGGCATTGGTCCCGGTTTGTGG